ATAAAATTTTCAAAAATTTTAGTAACATTATGTTGATAAATACTTGTAGTGATCTACTGATAAAAGGATCTAATATAAGTATTATGAGATTCTTTGGAATTTTAATTTTTTGAAGTGCTTTTTGTAATATCTCCAAGCTAATCATATCATATGCTTTGGCAATATCTTGAAACAAAATCCACAGTTCTTTTTTCTTTTCTCTGGTCTCTTCGCAGATATTGTTTAGCAAGTGAATGGATTCTGAAGTGCTTTTCCCTGATAGTCTTGTGAAATTAGGGTCCTTTAGAATATTATATCTTTTGTATATGATAAACAGTTGATTAGTGATAATTTTGATAAAATACTTTTGTGAGATATCCAGAAGAACTATTGGTCTAGTGTTGCTTATAGTGCCTTGCTATTTTTTTCTCTTCAAGATTAAATAGAGTAGATTTTTTTTTTATGCTGCTGGGGTTATATTGTAGATTAGATATATATTCATAAGTTGATATAACATCCTTTTTTTTATTGTTTTCAGGTTTTTGAGCATTTCATATTTGATCTTGTTGGGTCCTGCTGCTTTGTCATTTAAAAATATCTTTCAGAACTTCTTCAAGCTTACTTTCTAAAATGGTGTTTGTTATTCCATTATACTATTCTTTTTTATTTTAGTTTTTGAAGTGTATTGTTTCTTTCATTTCTTATCTAATAGGTCAAAGTTGTTATTTCTTTTCTTGAAAGCTTTTTTGTAGTATTCTTCAGTTTGATACAGATTTTTTCTTTGTTTATTAATATGTATTCTCTTTCTAGTTCATTTTGGATACAGATTTTGTCTATAATAATTTTGTTTCAAAAGTTGTTTGTCAGTTCCTATACTATTTTCCTTTAGTTTTCTCTAGGATTCTTGCATCTTTCTTGGATTGATTATTTGATTTCTATATTGTTTTTGTTTTTTTTCTTATTGAGACATATTTTTTTAAGGGAGCTAATTGTCTCTTTAAACTGTTGCATCAAGATATCTTTATTTTTCTCTTCTTCAAGAATATTTGAGAATACTTGAATTGATTTGAATGTCAGTACTATTAGTACTATATCTTAATTGATTTTCTTGCATTTACTTCATAGTTTTTGTTTCAGGTTTGGTCCTTCCAGAGAGTCTAGTAAGCTAAACCAGTTGTTAAGGGTCTTGATAATTAGATAATAACTGTGGAGCACAAGTTATTCTTTTTAACTTTTTTCGTAAAAATTTATTTTGATATTTTCCCTTGTTATTCTTTTTTCACAATATAAATAATTGAAAGCTGAGGTTATTAGAATCTTTTCAAATATCTTTCATGAGTTTTGAATTAGTTGTTTGCACTTGTTGTCATCAGTGAAATTGGAATGTATTGTTTGAATTAGAATTGAAATATTACTTTGTTATAACTTTAAATCAATCTTGTGTCCATATTTCTTCTATTGTGATTCTATTGTTTTGATGATATTAATTACTTTTTTTCTATAGGGCTTGGATTTTTTTATGCTCATTTGATAGTCTTTAAACATGATGTCTTGCATAATTTAAATAGATAATATAGTATAATTACTGTTTGTTATGTTATAGAATCTCCAGATATAATCAATTCTACTAAAGCATATATTGTTTTTCTATATATAGGTTGTCTCTATTGGTTTCCATAGTTAATGAAGATTAAAGAGATTCTAACTATCCATAAAATTGAATAGTTTGATTTTGGAATCTTTAGTCTTGGAAAATTATTGTATATTATTTGTTGTTCTACAATCTATTCTTGGGTTAAGTGTTACATTGAAGTTACCCATTATTATAATCTCATAGTTTTTTCATAAATAGATCTATAATAGGTTTGAGATTTTTTTTTATAGTTTATGACTTTTCTTTTTGTCACTGGGCAAATATATTTAAGTAATTCATATCTTATGGCCTTTATTTAGAAGGTTTATTGCTATAAGGTAAATTTAATTTGTCTATCAATGCTATATATCTTTTGATACTTTTATAAATTAGTAATAGGACTCCTGTACTTTTGGAATTGTTTGGTTTGGCATTCAAGATACTTTTGTAGTCTTCTTGGTATAGAAAGGCAAAGTGTTGATTTTTTTTTGAAAAGTTTTGTTTCACATAGGCCTAAGATATTAATTTTCTTTTCTAACATTTTTTTATTAGGTTGGTTTGATCTGAGTCATAAGTGATTTCTCTAATATTATGTATTGCTATTGTTATTTGTAGTTAGGGATCAAAGTTTTAAACTGAAAACCAATTGATCCAAGAATCAGTTTTGGTTTAGATCAATTTGATTTTTAAAATTTTTAATTTGATAAAAATCGGATCAGTTCAGTTTTAAAATTTTATATTGGTTTCAATTCAAATTAAAACTGATTTTGTTTTTTTATATTTTATATTTAAATAGAAACAAAAATAAAAAAATTAAATTAAATTAAAATATATAAAGTAATAAAATAAAATAATCAAAAATTTTTTCACAACTTGACTTTGCTTCATTTTTTTATAATATAGAATTATAAATAAAAAACTTTTTATCGATTTTACTTTTGCTGTTTTTATTGTTTCTTTATATTTCAGCAAATTTGTTTAATGCTAATATTTTTTTATTCTAACAGTTATTGTTTAATTTCTTATTGATAATTTTTTTAGCAATTTTTTTAAAATGTAATATAAAAATTTTTCTAACAATTTTAATTTTCAATATATTAATGATAAAACTAGCAGCTTAATTAATTATAAAAACAGCAATACCAGTAATATTATTACAAGTAATTTGTCAGAAAACAACAACATCTTTTATAATAACAAACCAAAGCAAAGTATAGAGTTATTTTATGAAAGATTTGGATTTTAAAAATACTAAAAAACAACTTGTAACTATTGCAATGCTATATATGTTTGTAGTAGAAACAGTACTACTAATATATATACTGTAAATATCTTGAAAGATATCATTATACATGTTGCTAAAATTCATAGATCCTTGACACAATTGACACAATTATTTGACACAATTAATTGAGTCACTATTAAAATATATAAATAATTGAGTCATGACGTAATTATTTTTGAGGATTTTGGAAATTGAGTCAACAGCAAAATAATTTATGCCACATGTATAGTTCAAACCCACCTGGTTACAAAAATTTATCACAATTCCTTCTTAATTAAGCTGCATGAAGATGTGACTTCTGGCCTTTCCGGTAGTTACGAGGTTGCAACAGATCATATAAGAAAAGAATTGCATAAAGAAACTTCTGATCTAATTTTGATTAAATCCTACAATACATTACACAAAACACCACGTCAAATTTGGATATATAGACTGGACTGTACTCCATCTTAATTAATCACATTCGTCCATATAGAGGTTAATCCTAGTTGATCAAGGTCACATGAAAGAATATAATCAGGATATATTGGATTAATCGCTTCAAAAATGGCTATCCTGCACCCACACAGCCCTATAACCTGCTAAAAGTTGGTGCAATCCGGATTGGTGGCCCATTGGAAAAAGAGTAGAGCCATTAAGCTGAAATAGAGACTGCTGGAAAGGTTTTCACTTGTAAAGACAAAATTTTCCTTACCCTTATTACTAGTAGTGTTGATCAAACTGAAAGGCCAATGAGGTAAACTACTTTAAGAGTGTAACCTGTCTCGTTGGACACGAACTAAAAAAATTGATAGACTAGTATTTAATTGTAGTTATGTATTACAAAGGATGTTTGATGTAATAAGTAATATTGAATCCCAATAAAAATTTGTATCTAATGCCATTTAACCTTAAAAAAAAAAAAAAATATTATAGAATTAATAAATTTTTTATTTTATAAAATTAAATTCAAAATTTTTTTTAAATTTATAATAAATTTTATAAATTCTAAAAATTTTTTATTTAATTTTACTTTATAAAAATTTTTTTAATTGATAAAAAATTATAAAAATTTAGTTTTTTGATTTTTTTATTTTTATTTAACAAATATATATATTAAAATAATTTTGTTGATTTTTTATAATTTGTAATATACAATAGAATTTTGAATATAGCTTTAAAATATACTTTTAGCTTTGAATCAAAATTTAATTATATTGTTATAATATATTTAAAAAATTTTATTAAGTAACTTTATTCTATAGGTTTTTAAATATATATATTCAAAAAACTCTTTCCGCAAAATCTCAAATTTTTCAAAAATTACCTTTTTGATAATTTTGAGAAAGCTCCCAAGAAACACATTATCTTTATCTGCTAAAGCATACAACACTATAACTAAACACAAACAACTATTCAGAAAGGTAAAACTTCCTGTTAGTTCATTTGTTACTAACAATTTCTTGTTTGTTCCTCCTCTCTTCTCCAAGGCAAATTTTATAGCAGGAAAAAGAAGACATAAGCAATACAATTTACAGTAAACTCAAAGAAAAGTCAGCATCAACCCTTCTAGCTTCTAGCCAGTCGTGTACAAGGTTCTGCACCTCTCTAGACACCAGAAAGATCGTTGCTGACCAGATTTCACACGATAAATCAGGCAACCTAGGCACCAGACAAAAAACAAGGGGACACCAGACTTTTCAAAGGGAAGTCCAGGAGAAGGACTCCAAACAATAAACAATAACACAGCAATCAATATCAACATTTCTAAGTTACATGACAAATTTTTCTGATCAGGAGAAAAAATCAGATCCAGTTTACCCCAACAAGTAATCGGTATTACCATCACATCAAATAAATTAAACACATAAACACGTCCAGCATCAAAACAAACACGTCAATAACATAGTCATACCACAATCACAATCATATTATCAAACCTACATATTTCCAAACCAAACACGTCAACAGCATAATTACGAAACACATCAACAATAACAATTCCAACACGTCAACAATAACAACTCTAACACGTCAACCACATCAACGTGTCAACACATAAATGTAACACGTCCAAAGTAAACCAACAAAAACACGTGTTTAGTTTTACTCTATATCTAAACAATGACTGAACCAGACCACGCCATGATCCCAGGTAGCAAAAACTCAATTCCAACAACAACACCTCACACAAATGTTAACAGTAATAACAATTTATTATTAGATATTATTCTTGTTGATAGAACCCAATGCCATATATCTGTTATCTATCAAAACGAGAATCAAGAAGTCACTCTAACAGACCCATCCAGATTAACAACAATTTCCTTGCTCAGCAATTACCTAACAAAGTGGCTCATCCCCATCACAAATATCACCAAACCAGAGTCCTCAAATTTATCAATATTCCAGATTGAGTTCATAGTTTCGAAGGACCATGAAAGCGTATTAACACAAGTATCAGTTCTTAAAGAAAAATCTCTTCAAATCCTAGACGAATTCTTGAACTTTCAAAACTTACTCCAAAAAATCATTGCAAATAATGGCCAGCTCAGAAATAAGGTGCTTCAAAAAGTACTGGCGAAAGGTTGGAACTATTCGAAGCATATATCCTGGAACATGATTCAAATAAATAAAAACACACAAAAAAAAGCAAAAACATTCACCCTTACAACATCTTACCAACTGGAAAAAACAAATCAGCCACTTACTTTACAGACTCCACCTCCCGGTAAGATAGACCCATCTCCCAAGACTGTTAACAAGCTGACAGATCAACCAGACTCAAGAACAACCGCCAATCCAAAACATTAACCAAATAAAACTCCTAATCAATCAGAACCCAACCGCTATACAGAAAACAGCCAACCAGATATGCCAAATATAACAACTAATCAATTACATCCATTAGAACAAGATCTATATAAAGATAATCAATCAATGTCCATCAATCTGGACTTCTCTATTCCAGACGACATAGAAATGGACAACACCATCAAGACATACACCTATCAAGAAGAAGGAAACATTTTGGAAAAAACCACTAACAACCTCAGCTTTGACACCTCAACTATCTTATCAACAAATACAGGCTACAAGCAATTTAACAACCTTATTCTGTTTTCGTCATAATCTCCATCCCCTATTCCTTCAACCAGAAGTCAACAAAAGCCTGAGAGACAGGAGAGACCAGCAAACAGAAGTTCTAATAGGAAAAAAATAGACACGGCCCACAAAAAACTATAGGCATATGAGGAAGATCTAATTTTGAAAAGCTCAGGGATAGAAGACTATGACATTACTATCAATACAGATGAAGAAGAGAAAGACCCAAGCATTCCTGATGATCTTGTCAGTGAACACCATCGGATTATCCATTGGGCCTCCAAATTTTCTTCAATTAGAAACAAGCCAAAGGAACTCATCAACCTCTTACTAAGTATCCACAGACAATCAAAAAATGAGGTTAGACAAAAACCCCGTCTAGCTATCTTCATCAGAATAGAAGCAAGAGACAGAGGCTTCTTCAAATTTAACAAAACATCAGAACTCAAAGAAGACTACCAAATAGAATATGAGAAACTCAAAGGTCGTTTCGAAAAAATCTATAAAAGTAAACATAAGATCTCAGAGCTTAACAGAGAAGTCAGAAACAAGATCAAACTTTTGCTAACTACCAGCCTATTTATCGCATACTTGAGATACATCAACATCTTTGATCTTAATCTTCACCTTCTGGCACAAATAATGGAGTATGGTTGCAACTATCTGTGCCACCCCAAGGAAGACAGTAAACTAGACTATTATGAATTTCTCCAACTAAGCAAAAAAATGTTCAAAGACAACCTTCCAGAACTTCCTTCCTCTCCAGATCTCATCCCGTCATGAATTAAAGTCAAGATTCCTCATAGAATCCCAATAATAGACAGAAGTACCACAACAAGTGTAGCTGGATCACTTCATTCCATTTACAAATTCAATTTACTACCAGACTCATACTTTGTTACTCTTCCAGACTTACCCAACCTTCCTCAAAATCTTCCCAAGGAAGTTTCACATCTGTTTCCAATTAAAAGGAAAAAAGATCTCAGGAATCTAGGTGATAAGATTAGAGAACTCAGAAGATTTTTTATCATTCTATCCAAAATTCCCCCATCATACTTTGACCTTCCTTCACCTAAGATCCCCCTTCCTTGCTCGCTTGACCAACTGGAACCAGAATTCCGTAATAACTTCCTTCTTGACACATTTACAAACAGCATTAGTGAAGCTATAAAAAACCTTAGATCCAAATACTACTTTGAATATCTTCCCTTTAATTTCTTCAAACCCAAACAATCTCTTCCTTATTCTTCATCAACAATTAATGAGTATCGTTCCAAACTAGATATTCAAATCCCTACTACAAACCCACACAATACCTAATTTCTAATTAGGATCCTAAGATCCAATTTTTGCTTCTCTCTTCCATTAGGCCCACTCTGGATCAACCCAGAAATATCTCAAACTGACAAGCCAAAACTACTACGAAGACTTAGAGATATTGATCTGAGTCTCAACATTGGACTACTATCTCATGAGGATAGTCAATTCAAAGAGAAAATCAAGATACTCCACAACTTCTACGAGTTCCAAAGAATTCCAGAAGATTGGTTCGCTAATCCACGAGTAGTCTTGCCAGAAGATCCAAAGGAAATCAACAAAATCTTATCAAACAAGGGTTTAATGACACTCAACTTTCCCCTAACTGACAACGATAGTCTCTCAACAATCATCTATCAACTACACCAAACATTCGTCTTCTTCAGACTTCCAGAATCCCTAATCACTAAAGAGACGCTTCCAGAACCAGAGTTTGATCTTATTCCATTTTTATGTTAACTTTTATGAGTACAAACTCCATAGCAGGCAGTAATGCAACCGATATCAATCCAGCTCTTAACCAACCAAATCCAACCAATGCTACAACAAATTCAACACAAAACCTAATAACCTTCACAACCATCAACACCAAAGATCTTAACAATTTTTCCAAACTCAAGACTCTAGCGAATCACACTTCAGACTGGACCATCTTATTCTGCACCGAAACCAAACTCAAACAGGAAGACTATCACCCCAAAAACATCAATGGCAAATCAATAATCTATGGCAATTCCAACAACACAGCAAAAAATGGAACAGCTCTCATTATTGGATGAAGTCTTACTTCCCATATACACCAAATTATTAATGCCTCTGAGTACTGCATCACCATCCTGCTCAAGTTCAAAGGAAGAATCAACATGATTGTCTCAGCAATATACTTACCACATAACACACTCAAGAGAAGAATGGCAGTTAAACAAGTTCTCCAGATGGTCAAAATTGCAGCAAATAACAAATTACACCACACAATCATGGGAGACTTTAATTCATACCCCAAAAACAGTTTCTCAATCAATGCCCCCACATCTCCAAACAAACAACATCTTTACAAACATCTATACAATTATATTGATCTTGGACAACACTTCGATGAAAGAGCCTTTACATTTATTACTCCCACCAGTGCATTTCGAATTGATCAGGCATGGCTCACAAGAGATTTGGCCTTCAAAACAGTGTGGTACAAGGTTCAGGAGTGTGATTTCATTCCAACTGACTATCACGTGACAATTAAATTGGACTACTTCAAGTTCAAAAAAGTCAAACCTATATACAAATTCAAAATCAGCAAAACATCAGAGAAAAACATCAAGAAATTCACTCAAGATATTGAGTCGTGAACAAGTCTACTCTCATCACCCCACTGGGATGAGCTCTACAATCTTATTAGAAATTCAATAAACAAGTACATCAAAAAAGTGGAAGTTAAAGCAATTCCCAAAGACCTTTACTTTAGAGCAGAAAAGAAACTAAAATTCCAAATGAAAAAGATAAATACTATTATCTCTAAGCTCAAAAACAACTACACAACAGTACAACTCCCGGGACAAGAATTAACTACCCTCTACAACACAGTCAATAGTAACACAAAATGTTTCACTCCAAGGCTTGAAAAAACTCAAAAAACTACTAATTCGAGAAGCCTTAGCCCAGGCTCAACAAAAATCATTGGAAGAATTTTGGCTAAACCAGGAAAGAACTGTCGAAAATTTCTATAACAAACCCAAAAGTTATATCAAGAAGGCCCTGGGCTCCTTA